GAAAGATTATTGTTGGAGTCATATATATGCATAAAATTTTTCAATTTATTTTATTTCAGCTTCAGATTTCCAACTGTATTCTGTTCTACAAGTTCTGCAAATATCTAACCACTTGCCAGAGGCAGTCCCACATCACCATGTTATTTAAACCATTTACCTCTGGAAAATGGTTTAAATAACACCCTGGCTTGTTACCTCAATAGCATGTGAATGGTGGAGTGGGACAAAAATGCTTCATTTATGCCTACATTCAATTCTTGTGATTTTGTTTGCTCTAGTCTATCATTGAAATCTTAATTAACATAGTTTTTTTTATGCAGTAAAAATTTATTTTTAAACTTTGACTTAACAATCATCATGTGATATGCTGTTCAAGCCAATTTTCAGGCTGTGAAATCATTTATCAACTGCTTCTGAATGACTGTATGGACCACTTCTGAAGATTATCCAAAACAATTGAGCTTTCATGAATGCATAACTTTTAACGTGGCTCCACAAAAAAGTCCATATCACAGGCATCTGTCATTTTCAGCTGGTAAATAAATTTAAAATAAAAAGAAATTATGAGTTTAAACTTATAAAACTAATGCATAAAGAACTTCATTAATTAAGCTTTTGAGTAGTAATTCTGTAAGTTTAAAAGCCTAAGATGTTTAAATGTTACAAAATCTAAAACTGTTTTCAGAGTTTACAAGGATTTTTGTGACACCTTGTATTCATATTGTATCAATATTAGTAAAAATATTTTTGTTAATTTAATGATCATTGTTATATAATCAAATGCTAATGTCTCACAATGGGAATGTAATCATTTTCCTTTAATGAAAGGCATATACAGTAGTCACCACCAAACTTAAATCAGGCCACAGTTAACGTGTCATCCAATAAATAGGTTTAAAAAAAGTAGTTTGATTCATTGAATGAATGTTTTACATAATTTAAAACAAATATACAGTAATTAATCTTTATTTTTGCTAAATATCAACTTGATATCTTGCAAGTTTAACAAAATTGAACCATTCAAACTTGAGTCACATGCATCAAAAAACATAGACTACTGCATCACACATGTCAATGAACATAGACCAGCCAATAATTTGCATTTAAATAATGTTGCAATTGCAGTAGTATTTCTGAAACAATTGATTATTTTAGTTACTCTTTAGCCTGCAGTAATTCTGTGAATAATATAAGATGCTTTTTTAGTTTTATTTATAAACTTTTGCATTTTGTCTACAATTACCAGCAGAAAAGCTGTTTCAGAAGATTTAAGGAATGCTACCATTGCTAAACAAAGTCATGGCATGTCTGAGAGAGCTATTAGAAAAGAGCTAATGCTAAGCAAGACAACAGTGCACCAGATTATTGTTTATTACACTAACCACAGCCATGTTATACCTAATAAAGCTGCTGGACATCAGCAAAAAACTTCAAAAGTTGATGATAGGATTTTTAAAAGAATCGTAAAACACAACCACCATGCCACAGATATGGAATGTAACTATAATATGGAATACAATGAAAGAATGTATCTGTTTCGACAACATGCAGGAGACTGCAAGAAATGCATTTCCAGTTCTATGCAACACGTGAAAAACCTTTGCTAACAGCACATCAAAAGAAGAAATGGATACAGTGAACCAAAGAACATTTTTTCTGGTCTCAACAAAATTGGCAAGAAATTCTGTGGTCTGATAAATCAAACTTTGAATTATCAGCAACAGACAAAGCAAATGTGTCATTCAATCTGTCAGTCAAGCTAATGAGCCATTGTTGTTATATTGCTCAGGGAAGTTTCCTGCCAGCTTCATGGTTTGGGGATGTATGAGTGCCAGTGGTGTGTGTCAGTTGAGATTTGTTGATGGAACATTTGCTTCAGAGCAATATAGTAACATTTTACAACAGTATTTACTTCCATCTATAACAAAGCTATATCCAAATAGAACCTGCATTTTCCAGCAGGATGGGACCAAATGTCATACAAGCAGAAAAACAAAACAGTGGCTTGCAGAAAAGAAATAGAAGTTCTTCCTTGGCCATCCAACAGCCCAGATCTTTCACCAATTGAGAATGTATGGAACATTATGAAGAGATGTCTGCGAAAAACACGCTCTTGGACAGTTGAAGGACTAAAAGCTTCCATCTGGAATACCTGGAATTCTATAATGGCAGACAAATGTGAACACCTAGTCAACAGCATGCTGAAATGTATGGAAGGTGTTTTGGCCACAAAGGTGATGAACAAAATATTAAACTATGTTCATTGATGGGGCTGATGCAGTGGTCTATGTTTTTTGGTGCCTGGGACTCAAGTTTGACTGGCTCAGTCTTGTTAAACTTGCAAGATATCAAGTTGATATTTAGCAAAAATAAAGAATAATTACTGTATATTTGTTTTAAATTATGTAAAACATTCATACAATGAATCAAAGCTACTTTTTTTTAAAACTTATTTATTGGATGACCTGTTAACTGGTCTAAGTTCAGTTGTGACTACTGTACAGTACAAGATTATTTTGTCTATTATCAAAAATATGATAGGATGAATAAGGATCAGATTTTTTGATGTTAACTTAATTAATTAATTAAAAAATTGCCAATGAGAATCATATTATTATAATTTTGTTTTGATAGTTTTAAAAACTAATTAAGAATATCTACTTTTTACATTTCTTTCTACCATTCTGTTTTGTTAAGATGTTTTTATTTTCCTTTTCTTGATGGAATTTGCAATTCTATCATCAATAACTCATAGTTTATTTGTTTTCTGAAGCATGTTTTTATTTTATCAAAAATATTTACATTTATTAATTTTAATCATATGTTCAAAAATGATACAGAATATAATATTTCTGAAAGTTAGAAACTACAAATATCATTAAGGAAAATAGAGAGGATATTATGAATTTGGATTTTGTTTGTTTAGTCAAATTTATTTATGTAAAAAATAGCAAATATTACAGTTTAATTTCTAAACATAAAATTAAAAAAAATTGATTAGAAGTTATCAAAATTTTAAATAAGATTGCTGTATTTTGAAAGGTTACTTTTACCAGAAATCACTGAAACACAAAAGTTATCAGTGATTTCTGCTAAAGATTCAAATATCAAATATATTTTCAATGTTGTATGTACAATTTAAATAACTCAAAATATATATTTGGCAATTGTATATGGAATTTAAAAGCTAATTAACATATATATTTNAGTTTCATTTAAAATTAAAAAGGTTAAAACTTTCTAATACACCTTCATATAATACTTATTTTAATTTAATTTAATAAATAATAATAATTTTCTTATCAAAAGTCTTGAAGTAAGAGAAATGAATTAATTTGTTTATTCTTATTTCTTTGTTTAGATTTATTTATCTTCAATTCTGTTTTTACATTACATTCATTTGAATTAAATTCTTCACTTCAAAGCTTTTTTATGACAAAAAATATGATGATTGAAGAATTTTTCAAATTTGTGTGCACTGCAAGTTAATTTTCATCAATTTAAAAAATAATGGAAGATAACTTGTAATTTTACTTTGAAAATTTTAGATTTTTTTCTGGAATTATTAGAAATTAATAATCTTATCTTCATGTTATACAAGCATATTGAAAATTGCTTTAAAATGCAAAGAAAAATTAGAGTATGATAAAAACTATAGCACTGAGAACTCTTCATAATTAGATGCAAATAATGAGAATATAAATTGGCATTTCACAGCCTTCTTGGCAGACATATCCTTAGAATAACTAGTAAGACCTTGCATATTCCTATACCAAAATTATATTCATGATAATCTAAGGTCTGGAAATTTTAACATTAATGTAAGTTCATAAGTATTTCTAAAAAATAAAAATAAGTAGGATAATTCTTACTCCAACAAAATTTCTATTGCCATACATCATTTGTTTCATATATATATATAGATAAAATATATATATATATATATTTTTTTTTTAAGTAAAATAAATGTTGACCATGGTGAACCAAATGTCCTGCATAGCTCATGACACACTATGGTTATACATACTTTGATTGGGAAATACTGATATGTCATTATTTTTCAATTTTTTTTTTTTTAATAATGCTTTATAAACATTCAATTAAAACAAATCAGAAATTTATTAAAATATAATTAATTATAATCTGTATTGCTCTGCAACTCAAAAGTTTCAATAGTTTATAATTTAACAATTAAAACTTTTGGATTAAACTTAGATAAAATAAAATAAACAAAAAATATAGTTAGAATGTTATATGTAATGTAAAGACTTAAATTTTTACTGGCAGATTTGATGAATTGAAGTAAATTTTATTTGTTATAATTCATCAAAATTGATTTCCATTTTTATTAATTTGGTGATAATGATATATTTTTGTTAAATAGTTTTTTATTTTCTTGTATATAAAATTTCTTTGTAAAAGTTGTTTCACTAGGATGTATTGTCTACATACCATTGAATCAATTTGAAGATAATAATTTTAAATAGCTTAATTTTGAAATTAATATATGTATATATATTCTTGACATAATTTTTCATTTCTTAACAGTTTTATCTCTGTATTGGTTTAAACTTTGTTACATTTATCATTTAAAGTTTGATTTCATGATATTTGCATTAGTAAATCCAAACAGATGTACTGTACAAGGATAAAATAATAAAAAATAAAATACATATAAAAAAATAAAGTTTTTTTATACAATTCCATGCATTTCCTTTAATGTAAACATATGAAAAACATGATAATTTTGCTTTATTTCTCTTTATGTCAGTTAAGTATAAGTATAATTTTTACTTTTGTCTACATTTCTCTCATTTTTGAATGTAATAAATCAATATTAATCTAACTTTTAAATTATTATTGTAACATATTTCAAAAAGTCTTTTAATATTATTAATATTACGTAAATAATTCTATATAACATGTTATTTATAATTATTAATTTTATTAATTAAAATAACAAGTATAGCATTTAATAAATTGGAATAATTTTTTTTCAGCATGATATTTTAAATCAAATTGAAAAAGATATTAATATGGAAAATGAATTAATGAGTCAAAGTAGTAAGTAAAGTTTTCTCGAATTTTTATTTTTATGAATGCAAAATAAACACAAAAGATTTTTCAGGTCATCAATATGAATCATTCAAAGAGAATTTTAAACTTCAATATTATCTAATCCAGAGAAAGAGACCTTACTGAATTAGAAGTTTGCATCCCTGTACATTTATCTTTCGTGTACAAAACATATACATATTTTATAGTTAAATAGAAATATTTACTTTAAAAGAAATTTTTTATAACTAAAAATTCATAACAGCGAAATTAAACTTTTGCCATTTTGTATTTTATTAAGCAGCAGTAGAAGCCACAGAAGGTCTCTTGGTCTGATTCTTGTAGGATTCTTATCTGTGACATAGTCATTACTTATGATCAATAAATTTTTGTAATAAAAATTTTATTTGCTTATTAACAATTATTTTCATCTTTATTATGCTGTACTGATGAATAATTTAGTTTAATTTCAGATTTATTATTTCATTTACAATCTTCTCATATATCATATACAGAAAATAAAATAGAAATGACACATTAATATGATGTAAAAAGTTATTTTTAATATTTTCTAATAATAAATTAAAATTTAAAAAAAATTCATTTGTATGCTAGGTCCTCCAGTTGATGAATTTGTTCCTGAAAGTAGAAGACCCTCCATAGAATATATTGACAAAAGTGTTATCTATGGTCATCGTTTACGTTATAATCCTATATCATCATTAACAATGTTTGTAACATCACCTGAAGAAAAAATAAATCCAAAAGAAAGATGGAAAAGAGCAGTGAGAAAAATTATATCAAAAAGAAAATGTGAGAAATTTCTGACCGATAATGATATCCCAAGTGAATGGAAAGAACATAAAGCGAAAGATTCAATTTTAAGAGTTTATGAAGAATTGACAGAACGCAGAAAAATGTTAGAATTATTAAGAATGAGTATCAATATTGGGAATTCTCTTCCTGTTAGTCAAGATACAGCACTAACAAAAGGCAAGAAAAATTATTTAAAATATGTTAATTTCATTTGCTTTAGCTTTAAGTATAGATATAGGAATTCTCTAACATTTGATTATGTGAATAAATTAGTTATTCTTTTCAGTTTCTTTGTCATAAACTGCATTTTTGTTAATTAAGATTTTTATTTTGTGATATTAAATTAATTCATAAAATATAAGTGAAATAAAACAAATTATATATAATTTTTTGAAATTTTTATTATGAAAATAAATAATTTTTTAATAGAATTGAAAAATGATTGCTATTGCTGAGAATAACAGTGAAAGGATTTTATTTAGTAGTTTTTTTTATTTCTGTCATTTATTAAATGTTTATTTAATGCATCGTTGTAACTATTTATTTTGATAAATAATAATAATTGAAATCTCTTAATTAACAATTTTTATTGGTAAATACACATATCAGTATTTTTTTTTCTTCTTGAATTTATTGACAAAATTTGTTTCCAAATTTATTTATAGCATTTGACTATAGTAAAAGTAATTTAAACATATTTCGTAAGTTGTATTGAATATTTAATATATTTTAGGTTTGAAACCAAAAACATTGGCTGAATTAGTGATGTTACTACAATGCCCAAAGAAGCAATCATCTTTACTGAGAAGTAGCTCTAGAGGTACCAAAGCAAAAAGTGCTACTATTAATAGCTCATCAGCAAGTCTTAGGTATTTACTTTTTAACTATATATTATAATATACTTACTTAATTTTAAACTATTTGACTAATTCAAATTTTAGTTTAAAGTTAAGTAGTTAAGTGTATTAAGAAATAAAAGTTACAAAACAGCTTGAATAATACATAAAAATTGCTTACAAGAGTTTTAATTGAAAAAGTTTTTTTACCACTGAATTTCTTGCCACAGAGTGTTCTTTAATTGTTGAGATTTAGTGGGAAGGGGAAAAAATTTTTTAATTTTTTTATTTAAATAAATAATTAATACATTAAATCTTTGATGAGTGAGTACTCCCATAAATATACATGATACATTTGGTGGACTCTACAGAGTAAGCAGTAAGCATATATATATATATAATTGATTGGAAGAAGAAAATATTGTCTGAAGTGTTCAAAGTTATAGCAAGTTACCAATTTCCATGTCATTATGTCATGCAGAACTGACAAACATCCATGACATCATGATTACCTCTTGTAACAATTGTGTAAGACCTCTGTAAAGTCAGAGCAGAAAATTTATGCAATAATATGACAATAAAGAAAAATTTATGTGACTGAATGCATAAGCTAACAATTTTCTGCAGTAGTTTTTTTGGGTCCCTGTGATAAGAAATGTCTTATCCAAAATTTTTACCTAGTAGATTGATAACATTTAGCATGAGAATATCATGGAAGCACAGCTAAATAAGTCAATTTGATGAAAAATGCTCACAAAGAAGCTAGTAGGTGTAGAAAATTGTTACTATTGCATGTGATCACAGGTTAAATGAATCTAATATCCACTTAGTAAAATTAATTGATAATTACAAAAAAAAACTACCTAGTTACTATGATTAATGAATAGATTTATTACACATCCAGCCTATTTAATTAACTTTATCAAAATGCATTTTGACCTTGTTGGCCCTTATCAATTTGATGACATACAAGAAACAGAATATATGATGACACTTGCCAACATTACAATATGTGTTAATAGTACAATTATTACAAATTACATACACATTATTAATAGGATTATAAATTATCACTAGGGCAGTAACACAACAATACTAAAAGTCTAGTAAAAACCTTGCAAATAATCCTGTCTTCTTTATGGTTATGATAATTTTTTATTCTTCTGACTACCACATTTGTTGGATATGCTGGTTCAATTTCCTTTTCTTGATTTTTATTTTCATTTTATTTTTGGGCACATTTTTCATTATGATTATGGATGATTCTATACATTTTGGTTTTGATTTACATATAGTAACAAGATTAATGATATTAATGGGTAGGAAATAAATCATACATGGTATGACTTGTTAAACATAAAAGATTAATTCTGCTTAATTGTTATGTATTCCATAATCATGTAACTCTTTCCTATAAACGTATATGATTCACATGTGGTTGTTAGCTAACAGCAGATGTTTTGTGTTAACCAAATAGAAACAAGCAGTAAAACTAGTGGTAGAAACTTTAAACACATCATGTAGTATTATTGTATTTGAAGTGCTGATTAAACCAACTGTGTGAATCTGTAAATCAAAACCAAAACATGTATAGGATCATCCATAATCATAATGAAAAATGTGCCAAAAAATACAGTAGAACATCGATTATTTGAATACCGATCAACCAAAACATCAGTTAACCAAAAGCGTTCCAGTCAGCAAAATCAAATTTCTGCTAGGGGTGTGGCATTGCATCACTCTTCCCCTCCCTGCCAAACTGAACTGTAGGCATAATTTAATGTATTACATTATATAAGGTATGTATTTGTAAGACGTGTAATACAAATTATATACAATACAGTTTTGTGTTTAATATATTTTTTTGTAAATGATCAAGTTATCAGAACAACCCCAGTTCCAAATTGTTTCGGATAATCGATGCTCTACTGTAATTCCAAATGAAAATAAAAATCAAGAAAAGGAAATTGAACCAGCATATCCAACAGATCTGGTGGAGACAAAAGAATAGAAAATTACCACAACCATAAAGAAGACAGGACTATTCACAAGGTTTTTACTGAACTTGTTTAGTATTGTGGTGTTACTGTCCTAGTGATAATTTATAATCCTATTAATAATGTGTATGTAATTTGTAATAATTGTACTGTTAACGCATATTGTAATGTTGGCAAGTGTCATCATATATTCTGTTTCTTGTATGTCATTCAATTGATGAAGACCAGTAAGGCCGAAATGCATTTTGCTTAAGTTAATTAAATAGGCTGGAGTGTAATAATCCTGTTCATTAGTCATAGTAACTAAGTAGTTACTTGTAATTAAATAATACAGGCAAGAAACTTTTTATTATACAGTATTAATTGATAATGTTTCTATTTATTTCAGAAATGATATGACTTTAGATAGTCTTTCTGAAGAAGAATTTAATACTAAAAAAATTAAAAGGCATCATCACATAGAAAACATTGTAAAAATGCCACTCTATTCATTAGACCAAGTTGTTTCAAAAAAGACTGATTCTCATCAAAATAATTCCATTAAAGAGGTAATCTTATAAATTATTTGAAAAATATTGACTGTTCAAAGTGTTGATATTCCAAATGTTCTTGTGCAGACATAAACTTTAGTAATTCAATATACTTTTTTAGTTGTGTAAATTTAATCATCCAAGATGTATAAATATTTTGAACTATAACTATATAAACACCATTAAAATTGTAAAATCTGTTTTAATATTCACAGCTCCATATAAAATAGACTATAGCAAAAAACAAGTGTCTGAAAGATTATTGTTGGAGTCATATATATGCATAAAATTTTTCAATTTATTTTATTTCAGCTTCAGATTTCCAACTGTATTCTGTTCTACAAGTTCTGCAAATATCTAACCACTTGCCAGAGGCAGTCCCACATCACCATGTTATTTAAACCATTTACCTCTGGAAAATGGTTTAAATAACACCCTGGCTTGTTACCTCAATAGCATGTGAATGGTGGAGTGGGACAAAAATGCTTCATTTATGCCTACATTCAATTCTTGTGATTTTGTTTGCTCTAGTCTATCATTGAAATCTTAATTAACATAGTTTTTTTTATGCAGTAAAAATTTATTTTTAAACTTTGACTTAACAATCATCATGTGATATGCTGTTCAAGCCAATTTTCAGGCTGTGAAATCATTTATCAACTGCTTCTGAATGACTGTATGGACCACTTCTGAAGATTATCCAAAACAATTGAGCTTTCATGAATGCATAACTTTTAACGTGGCTCCACAAAAAAGTCCATATCACAGGCATCTGTCATTTTCAGCTGGTAAATAAATTTAAAATAAAAAGAAATTATGAGTTTAAACTTATAAAACTAATGCATAAAGAACTTCATTAATTAAGCTTTTGAGTAGTAATTCTGTAAGTTTAAAAGCCTAAGATGTTTAAATGTTACAAAATCTAAAACTGTTTTCAGAGTTTACAAGGATTTTTGTGACACCTTGTATTCATATTGTATCAATATTAGTAAAAATATTTTTGTTAATTTAATGATCATTGTTATATAATCAAATGCTAATGTCTCACAATGGGAATGTAATCATTTTCCTTTAATGAAAGGCATATACAGTAGTCACCACCAAACTTAAATCAGGCCACAGTTAACGTGTCATCCAATAAATAGGTTTAAAAAAAGTAGTTTGATTCATTGAATGAATGTTTTACATAATTTAAAACAAATATACAGTAATTAATCTTTATTTTTGCTAAATATCAACTTGATATCTTGCAAGTTTAACAAAATTGAACCATTCAAACTTGAGTCACATGCATCAAAAAACATAGACTACTGCATCACACATGTCAATGAACATAGACCAGCCGATAATTTGCATTTAAATAATGTTGCAATTGCAGTATTTCTGAAACAATTGATTATTTTAGTTACTCTTTAGCCTGCAGTAATTCTGTGAATAATATAAGATGCTTTTTTAGTTTTATTTATAAACTTTTGCATTTTGTCTACAATTACCAGCAGAAAAGCTGTTTCAGAAGATTTAAGGAATGCTACCATTGCTAAACAAAGTCATGGCATGTCTGAGAGAGCTATTAGAAAAGAGCTAATGCTAAGCAAGACAACAGTGCACCAGATTATTGTTTATTACACTAACCACAGCCATGTTATACCTAATAAAGCTGCTGGACATCAGCAAAAAACTTCAAAAGTTGATGATAGGATTTTTAAAAGAATCGTAAAACACAACCACCATGCCACAGATATGGAATGTAACTATAATATGGAATACAATGAAAGAATGTATCTGTTTCGACAACATGCAGGAGACTGCAAGAAATGCATTTCCAGTTCTATGCAACACGTGAAAAACCTTTGCTAACAGCACATCAAAAGAAGAAATGGATACAGTGAACCAAAGAACATTTTTTCTGGTCTCAACAAAATTGGCAAGAAATTCTGTGGTCTGATAAATCAAACTTTGAATTATCAGCAACAGACAAAGCAAATGTGTCATTCAATCTGTCAGTCAAGCTAATGAGCCATTGTTGTTATATTGCTCAGGGAAGTTTCCTGCCAGCTTCATGGTTTGGGGATGTATGAGTGCCAGTGGTGTGTGTCAGTTGAGATTTGTTGATGGAACATTTGCTTCAGAGCAATATAGTAACATTTTACAACAGTATTTACTTCCATCTATAACAAAGCTATATCCAAATAGAACCTGCATTTTCCAGCAGGATGGGACCAAATGTCATACAAGCAGAAAAACAAAACAGTGGCTTGCAGAAAAGAAATAGAAGTTCTTCCTTGGCCATCCAACAGCCCAGATCTTTCACCAATTGAGAATGTATGGAACATTATGAAGAGATGTCTGCGAAAAACACGCTCTTGGACAGTTGAAGGACTAAAAGCTTCCATCTGGAATACCTGGAATTCTATAATGGCAGACAAATGTGAACACCTAGTCAACAGCATGCTGAAATGTATGGAAGGTGTTTTGGCCACAAAGGTGATGAACAAAATATTAAACTATGTTCATTGATGGGGCTGATGCAGTGGTCTATGTTTTTTGGTGCCTGGGACTCAAGTTTGACTGGCTCAGTCTTGTTAAACTTGCAAGATATCAAGTTGATATTTAGCAAAAATAAAGAATAATTACTGTATATTTGTTTTAAATTATGTAAAACATTCATACAATGAATCAAAGCTACTTTTTTTTAAAACTTATTTATTGGATGACCTGTTAACTGGTCTAAGTTCAGTTGTGACTACTGTACAGTACAAGATTATTTTGTCTATTATCAAAAATATGATAGGATGAATAAGGATCAGATTTTTTGATGTTAACTTAATTAATTAATTAAAAAATTGCCAATGAGAATCATATTATTATAATTTTGTTTTGATAGTTTTAAAAACTAATTAAGAATATCTACTTTTTACATTTCTTTCTACCATTCTGTTTTGTTAAGATGTTTTTATTTTCCTTTTCTTGATGGAATTTGCAATTCTATCATCAATAACTCATAGTTTATTTGTTTTCTGAAGCATGTTTTTATTTTATCAAAAATATTTACATTTATTAATTTTAATCATATGTTCAAAAATGATACAGAATATAATATTTCTGAAAGTTAGAAACTACAAATATCATTAAGGAAAATAGAGAGGATATTATGAATTTGGATTTTGTTTGTTTAGTCAAATTTATTTATGTAAAAAATAGCAAATATTACAGTTTAATTTCTAAACATAAAATTAAAAAAAATTGATTAGAAGTTATCAAAATTTTAAATAAGATTGCTGTATTTTGAAAGGTTACTTTTACCAGAAATCACTGAAACACAAAAGTTATCAGTGATTTCTGCTAAAGATTCAAATATCAAATATATTTTCAATGTATATACTTATTATTATTTTTAATTAATATTTAGAAATGTGCCATCAGTTCAAAAAGTAATGTTAGATTTCATATTTGAAGTTTGCCTTCATAAATTATGAATTAGAATTTGTTAAATTATTGATCTTTTATTATGTTACAATTAATGCAACAATAAAAATCA